CGATCCTAAGGAGGAATGTCATTCTATGCTGGCAGTGGTGGTGCTGGAGGCATAATCGGGGCCTGAGGAAGGTGATGCGCTTGTATCCATGCCACCAGATCCTGGTTTTGCTTCATCAACTAAATCGTGGTCCGACGATAAGTCTCCAACTCATTGAGAGGAGCTAGGTCTGCCACCGAAGGGTCATTTTCAACATTCAGCGCTGGGCCTAGAAAGTTTCCAGGTTGGTGTTATTGGGTTTGCTAATTCGCGTCAGACATGCTAATTTTCGTGTGGAAATCATCAATCCTCAAAATGAATAGAAGAAAGTTAGAGAAAACGATGAAACCTATTTCCCACAGATAGCGCCAAACTGATGGTGCTTGAAATCTATAAAGCCAACTACAAAATAGAACGGGGTGAGGCCCAAAAGGGCTTCGCGTGTGTTTGTTACAGAGGATGTGTTAGAGGGTCAACTAAAAGACTAAGGTTACATCCACTTGTAAAAGAGGCTCTTGCTCCTAGAGGACTATATTACTTAGGGAAGAAGGCAGTGGTTATAGAATTTTTTTTTTTTCTTGGGAGCCTTTTTTACAAGGTATTTTCTAGGTTGCCTCAGATATTCTCTTTATCTTTCTATGCTCTCTCACTTTACATAGTACTATCATCTTTTATTTGTACATCTTGTTATTAGGGTTTCCACAATACTTTCTTTTCTGACTAATTCTATGGTCCCCTCCTCATTTGTAGAGTAGCTGAACCAGTTATCCTGATGTTTTTTGTGTCCATTAGCCCTGCAACATAATGTATATGGCATCCTCACTATTGGTGAATATTTGATTGTTAGAGTTGTCAGGCATTGTCCCCTGTCCCCAGCCCCCTATCCACGTGGCAAGATTGGGGTTACCTCGAATCTGCTTAGCGCCAAGCTCAAACTCCCAGACAGATGCTTATCGCCAAGCTTGTTGAAGCCGATTTGGGTTTTGATCTGGGCTGAATGATCTTGGGCTTTCATGGAGCTGGGCTATGATCCAACCCAGATAAGGAAGACGCCATCCAAAGGGTTGTTTGGATTGTCTTTGACGAGCCCACCGGAAGCTTTGGTCCCAGGCTTAAATCCATCATCATTAGTCTGTAACCTACTTTTCATAATTGAAAACTACAACAACAAAAATCGTATCAAAAAAATACAAAACACTTCAAAAGATAATAAGTTTTATAATTAAAAAAGATAAATAAACTCTACCTATACTGTAGTTAATGAACTCAAACACTGAATACACACTAAAAGTTAGTAACTATTACTCAAAATGTGGTATAAATATCTAAAAAAGTGATTAATAAGCCTTTGGACCACAATCAATAAGCCTTCTCTCGGTGCCCATAGTTTTGCAGACATACTCCAAGTTTAGCCAATATTTGCCCGAAATCCAATCATTAATCTGCCCATGGAGTCACAGGTCAGATCACCAGCACCTGCTAATTCAAATACTGGTTGGTTTAGAGTCATGTCCAAATGCTCTCTGGCAAGAATTTCACATTTTAGGAAGTAAAAATGAGAAATGGCCCAAAAAATGGATAGGGATCAACACGTTTTTGAGCCTGCCTTGTGCATCCCCAAATCTGAATCCCGGAGTTGCTTATATAGCCACTTCTTATCCCTTGCATATATCCAATGACAAGACAATTTATCATAAATTGAACCAAAAAAGACACCACAATGAAGACATCTTGAGTTTTTTCCTCACAATAAAACTATGATAACCAATCCTTCACTAAAAACATAAAATTCTAAATAGGGCTCCCTTGGATATATCCGAGGACAAGACAATTTATCAAAAATGGAACCAAAAAAACACTAAAATGAAGACATCTTGAGTGTTTCCTTCACAATGAAACTATGATAACCAATCCTTCACTAAAATCATAAATTCCAAATAGGGTTAATAATCAAGTCAGACTTGTCAAACTTGTTTTTTTAAATGAATCTAAAAAATTGATCAAACTCAACTCTTTTAAAAAATGAGTCTAATAAAATCCCAAGTTGAACATAACCCGAATATTCTCAATTATTTTATATATAAACAAACCAAACTTTCTAACCTCAAGCCATGTTTTTTTAGACTCATTTTTGTAAACAAGCCTAAAAATTTATATAAGTCCAACACAAGTCAAATCCAAATTAAACCCGAATAACTTGACTCAATTATCAAGCCTAATTCCAAATGATAAAATGTTTGATAAACAAAATTTTATTGTTCAATTGAAACTAAATTCACCCCAATTGGAAGCTCACAACGTAAATTGTCAAGCTCCACACCTTCTGGATCCAACTTTCGATTAAATATTCTGTCAAATAGTATTTCTGACTTACAATTGCGCCTGATGATTTTGTACTCGTAATCAGACATCAAACAGTCAAACACGACCACCATGAGAAAACAAGTTTAGAAGGCTCAAACTTATGCTCTAGTTTGGAATTGGACCTCAACTCCACATTGTAACACATCTTTTGATTCGACTACTCTTGTCCAAATATCACATCCCTTGGGTGAAGATAAAATGGCAGGAAAAATATCAGACAGAATGAATTTGACTGATAAAATTTTAGATTTCCAATTCATAACGAACTCAAAAATAGAATGATTTTGTCAAATAGGCTAATGAACCAACATAACGATTCAAATCTGAAAAAAAAAAAATTACATCAATTTCAAATCAAAAACAAAACCACATTACAAGTTATACTAAGCCCACTTCATTTCACCAGCATTAACAAACATGGATGCTTACCAGACCTCATTCCAACCAAAGACATTTAGGTTTTTGCTAAAAACAAACAAATCGTAGAATTATCCTCCATTGAACTAGTTGTATTAGTAAAAGCCAAAAACATATAACTGCAAATGCTAACCAGTTTCGTAAGCAAGAAAAGATCAAGTGTTTTAACCTCTAAGAAATTATTCTATGGATCCACCGTGTTATCAACAAAATCCAACATTATACATCATGAACTTAATCTACAAAATAATTTTGCTAAGCATCCTCCCAATTGTTCATCCAACCACTCCAATTGGACCTGCACAACCGTTTTTGTAGTCCGCTTTTCATCATCTATTCAAGGTATGTTTATCGCAACGCTATTGTACTTTCAATTGCTATTATTATCAATGTTTGTTGACTTGTACAATAAACTTATTACAAAAATACTGTGGTTCAAAACTAATTTGACACCATTTACAAATAGAACAATCCTCTGTCAATAGATAGAACGAAAAGACATTGATAATGTAATATACTTCAAACACTAAGTTCAAATAATTCGCTTGTATTATTGAGCACAATTTAACTTCTTGTGTACAATGGTGTCCTAAGATTTATCTGTTCTGAATTTCATCACTTGATGATTTTTTGAGAAATACAGAATCCAAAAAGATGTAAGAAAGAAAAAAAATTCAAACAAGAACACCAAGAAAACAGAGTAGAAAGCAGGATAATCAACATCACAATGGATTAGACAACCAAATATGTCCAGAAAGTTAGCAACAAGATTATTGTCTTTCATCAAACAATCAAAAATTAAGAACAATTTAAACATTCATTTAGAGACAATATAAGATCTCTAAACCCTACCTAATAACAATCTAGTTGGAGATAAATCAGAAGTTTCAGTAGTTGCAGAAAGAGTAGATTCAGTAGCATAGTTTTTTGCATCACTTGAAAAATAGAATATCTCAGTCCAAGTGTTGGAATATTAACCATTGTTTCATCCTCATCCACACTATACTCACAAAACAAAAAAATTTGTACGACTCTATCAAATTATTTCAGTCACAAACTTATGTGAACATAATCTTCAAATCATGTTAAATGAAAAAATACAACCATTAATTTAAAGCGAAACAGGTGATCTGAAATGGGTAAAGAGATTACTCAGCAGTGGCAATTTTAAGTAATAGGTTCGATTCTGCCAGCAAAAAGTCTTCAGCTATAGATTTCAGAAGAGGGAGCTTTGCTATCCTCATTGCAACCTTCCTTTCCCACAACACGTAGTTTAAATCTAACCAAAAATCAAATTCATTCAAACAAAACGAGCGTGTGTGTGTGTGTGTAGAGAGAAAGAGAGAATTAGAATCGCTCAGCTCAGCTCAGCGGGGTAGTCGACACGCAAGCTTCTCTAAAGAGAGACTGCATTCCGGTCTGTTGAGTTTGAATTTTTATGGAGTCATCAACGCGATCTCTTTCAGGATCTCAAAATCGAAAACAATAAGAAGAAAACTACTGAGGAAGCGTTGAGCCAGAACATTTGCGATCAGAGCGAGAGAGAGAGAGAGAGCAGTAAACGAAGCTGAAGAAGGCGCAATTCGTCGGAAGCTGGCTCTGTACTTTAACCCTCACTGGGTTCCTAGGGGTTGTTTGGATAGTGGGGTTCTCCAGCCTAATAATGATTTAAGATTCTTGTTATTGTTGTTCAGGATATCCCAAATCCAATAACTACGGGAGGAATTCCTGCTTTTTCTTTCCCTTGAAAGGGGCATCTGCTCTATTTTTTATTTTTTTTTTGTCAAGCGTTATTACAGGCAACAGGAGGACGAGACTATAAATTTCAAGCCATTTTTAGTAATAATATTGCATTGACCCAAAAGAAAGGTTATTTATGCAATATTAATTACTTTCTATAAAAAAAAAATTTTAAAATTGACCTAATTTTCTAATATGATAATTAACGTGGTTAAATTATATTATTAGAATTCAAGTATTGAATTTTTCATTGAGAGTATCATTTGATGCATTATTAGCTCATTGTATTAGACCAGATTTTCAATTCCTAAACATATTAGTCATAATTTCCACACTTCAAATCATGAAATAGACAATTTGTTATAATTCATAAGTCAACTTAAAATGAGCTATAATAAAAACAACTTACTTGTAACATTGGAGACTATTTCCCTTCCTGTTATGTAATTGTACCTGCTAATTGCTCCAAATATATTTTTCAACTTTGCTATTTCAAGCATCTCATCAGTAATGAAATTTGGTTTCTTCAATAGAGAACTCCTATAAGAATCAATGTATAAGCAACCAAAACTAACAACCCTTCTATGCATTCTGTAATACAGAAAGCCCTCGTGGCTGTTTATACAGATAAACAAAACACATGGAATACAAATGAGTTTAAGAAGAAAGTATAGCCGGGAAGGATGAAGACGCTATCTTCTCTCATTGCTGTATACTTTTTCTTACAGCTCTTTATACAACAAACCATATAAAGGACAGCGGTCTGGGGCTGGCCAAGAACAAATGTCAATAGAGACTGGAACTTAATGTCAACATAGGATGGGAACAACGTTAAAACCAAGATCAACAAAGGCTGAGGGCAAACATCAAACACAGGGTCAATAGAGGCTAAGGCACAACAAAGGTCGAGGTCAACAAAGGTCCGAAATCAAGGACAACATTCAGATGTTCAAGGCCAAGGCTAAGGACAGAGTCAGAGGCCAAACGCTTTGGTCAACAGTGACCTAGGTGCTATGGATGGGTTGGTGTTACAACTATGAGCAGAGCACCACTGCCAATAAAAGGATCATGAAAGCTAGATCAAATAACCACACAGCCAAAAAGCTTGAGACCTTCAAAGAGCCAATGATACTAATGAAAAAGTGAGGCACAATCCTCTTCACCATAAGTGCATATGCGAAGGAAATTGTGCTTGCAAGAAAAAGCGTAACTACTCTAACAATAAATGACCATGGGCTGTCCAGCAACCATATCGCCACCAGTATCACCACCATGCTCAAGACAAACACCACCGTATTGGATAGGATGAAGTAGAAGCCATCTGGAATTAAACCTGGATCTGAGAGGATACCTACAACACTGATTGTATCATTTTTAGCCTGTTGAGCTAGTGGGAAAACATTGCCATAACTCGGAAGAGCTTGATAAGCAACCCCTGCAAAGAAAATTGAAGCAGTCACAAGCACAGCAACTACTTCAATGGATATCCTAGCCCGCATCAGCCTGTCCATAGTGGTAGATTTCGGTGGTGGTGATTGAGATTGCAATGGAACTCTCTCCTGGGCTTCAGCTTCATGGAAGAGTTGGAGGATATACCTTCCAGAACTAGTCAGACAAGAACTAGTTTGACAATAAAGGTGTAAGGCTGTGTGGCCCACGTTGTTCTTTGAGTCTACTTGCACCAAAGGCCCTTTTTTAGTGTTGTCCTTGAGCAACAAACTTATTATCTGCATCAAAATTGAAGTATTCCGAATAGAAGATTATATGACATTTAACAAGAAATTGACAAGAATTGCATTCAACAATGTAGAGCTCGGCGATCTATCAGCCATTGCTAAAAACATGAAAACAGTATGTATAACTATCATCAATTGCCAATAAGAGAATCAGAACCCAAAGTAAAATAAATAACCTTAATGAGTCTTGATATACGGGTGTTCTGCACATTTACTACTATTCATGCACTTAAGTTTCAAAAGGGAGCATACCTTGAAAAAATATTAAAACATTTTCTGCTTTTAGATTTTTTTTTTTTTTGGCAAATGCCACTCTCTCTCTTTTTGTGGTGTTTCTGTTAATTAAAAAACAAAGGATTGAGTAAGAAAATTTAGGATAACAAGCAGGGTGAAATATAACAAGTAAATCTAAGTAATTTATACAACAGTAGCATTCCTCATCTAGAATTTCAATGATGATTGGTCAAGTCTGACATATATCGAACCATTATTCACGATGAACACAGATAACAAATGGTACAGTGGCAAACGGGTACATCTGATCAGAATATGTTCTCAATCACCATGAACCCTCATTCACTCTGTGCAAAAGCTCATGTGTGTAATGTGTATGGATGTCTGAGTTAGAGAGAGAGAGAGAGAGAGAGAGAGTCAAACCTCAGTTTGCCCCTTATCGGATGCAATATGGAGGACTGTGTCGCCATTGTTGTCCTTGCAGTTCAGAAGGTCCTCATGGTCCAACTTGAGCTTCTCAATCTCTGTCATCAACACTTTAAAGAACTCCCACCGATCGTTTTTCAGGGCCAAGTGAAAAGTATTTTCCCGGAAAAGGGTCACCCCAGTAACAGACTCTAAAGTAATAGATTCTGGACAATCCTTGACTAACAGTTTCAGAACTTCTAAATTTCCGACGATCGCCGCAATTTGAAGAGGAATTCTACCGTGCCAGTCCCTCAGAAGACACAGATGAGAGTCAAACATGACCAGCTCCTTCACGATCTCGATGTTCCCATTTTCACAAGCGAAGTGCAAGCCAGTGTAACCATTGATGTCTCTGGACCTTGCGAGTTCTGGGCGTTTTTGGATCGCCTGTCTCACGAACTCCACCACATTGTTCTTGCAAGCAATAAGAAACTCCGTCGGTGAACGTTCTTGCTTAATGTTTGAGTGATCTCTATGACTTAGTTCAAAACCAGTGGGGTCATTAACGGCAAGTTTCGACATCGCCGGAGCCATGTTCGTTTCTTTTTTGTTACAATTGTGTGATGTTTTTCCGGCAACTGATTAAAATCACAAAGCTTGAATCTCACTCTCTCTCTACGTTTTCCTCTTCTTTGTGATCACAAACTTCGGAGAACTTTCGTGGGAAGAAAAATGGGTCGGGACATGGTGTTGTGCCAGAGGGTTTACACGGGAGATTTGGTAAAGTTTAGAAAGACTTAAAAGACGATGGCAAATATCATTGATACACCCTTGGGTAATTGATAATATCAAGGTGTCCCATCGTATTTTTTATATTTACATTATGAGCAATACTATGTAATTCAAATTTGTATCTCAAATAAAGAGAGGGATTATTAGATCAATGGGTTCCATTTAAAAAAGTTGATGGGACTCATTCATCTAATGATTCCCTTTTATTTGTAATACAAATTTTTGTTACAGTTATATAGTATTCTCTTGGATTATTCTCCCTTTTGCTTTGAATTTATATTTCATGGGTATTTCTCAAATGGTCAATGTTAAGGTTGACCACTGAAAAATTCTCATACAATTTAGTATTTGTCTTAAACAATACCATTTAAAGCCAAAGCTAAAGCAAAAAAAAAAATTTATTTTTTTTTGGTTTAGCCTCCTATCCAACCTTATGCCTATAAATTGAACATAACATCACATGTGATCAATTCTTTTTACAAGCATATAAATCAACAATCGCAAACCCTCGTATAGCTGTGGTTAGGATCAATGTCAAATTGCAACCTTCCCATTTTTTAGCCAGCTTGCCCCTAGATTAACGGACTACTATTCTTGAATGGACCATTCATTCCTAGATTAACGTGTATTTCAGACTTTTACAAAAATACTCCAACCACTAAACCCTACAATTATCTTGAAATCCAACAAAACGAAGAGTTGTGATGCGTCCAACAAGAGACAATACCTTGCAACCAGTGATTCCCTCCCCAGTGACGAGTAATACAATTTTTTAATATATATATATATATATATATATATATATATATATATATATATATAGATGAGAGATAATAGAGGTCAACGAGCAAGAGCAACCGGATTTAGAATAAATAGACTTATATACATACATAGATATATATACACGTAATATGAGAGAGAAAGTTACCAAGGTGGTAAGAGGGTGGTGGACCATGGGAAAGAGATATTGTTCGATAATAGTGGTGTGCGCCTATACGTTTAAGAGAGAATCAAACATAGGATGACAGATTACTTAAGATAGGGATAGATCTTGTATAACATAATTTTCCAAGTGCTGATTGTGTTGTCTCCATTTCCATTGTTGATGTTTGGTAAAATCTAACATAAATGTCAGTATAATTAACAATACTTACAAGATATTTCACAATTATCAACAACCATAGGGTGTGCAAGTGTAATTTATCCCAAATAAAATTATTAAAACCTCGCCGCGTGAAGACCGAGTAAAGTAAAAGTAAACGATAAGGCTGGGCCCGTCCTTTCGTCGAAGAGTCGGTGAAGTTTGAAGTTTTCACAAGGTGATCGTGAATCTTTCTTGGGTTTCGATCCATTTAGACTTTTGCTTTCACACTATTCCTCTCCGTCCAAAGAAAAGTAGTCGAGGGTTTCATTGTGTTTGATTGAGAAAATTGTTGTCCTTCTGTTGTTGGTGCTGTTCCAGACTTCAGTTTTAGAGAAATTATGAATTACTCAGTGGATGTCGCGGAGTCGACGGAGATCTCATCGGTCGGAGATTATGAAGCTCCATTACTGTTTGGGCTATCGAGGGTTTCAGACCGGCCCTTCGGCGATTATTCGGATGCATCACCAGAAAAGGAGGTTGGGGCGAGCGATAAGTTTTACTTCCCTATATCTCAGTTCGATGTGAATGTTTTCCCCCGAAAAATCGAGTATTTACTGATCGCGATGTGCAGTGAATTACCGGAGATTTCAAGGTCTTGGTGGCGTACTTTGTATTCTCCGACCAACTTTGGTGACTGTAAACAATGCAAAACTATGGAATTAGCTCGCGTGTCCTCCTCCTGCAATTTACCACTTCTCGATACTTGCCCACCAAAGCAACAAGTATTTGAAGTGAAAATAGCTCACAAGTTCTCCTCCCGGAATAACGCAAATCTTGATACTTGCTGTCAAAAGAGAGTAGTAGCAAATAGCGCGATTGGCATTTTATCTGAAATGAACCCCCGAAAAATCGAGTATTTACTGATCGCGATGTGCAGTGAATTACCGGAGATTTCAAGGTCTTGGTGGCGTACTTTGTATTCTCCGACCAACTTTGGTGACTGTAAACAATGCAAAACTATGGAATTAGCTCGCGTGTCCTCCTCCTGCAATTTACCACTTCTCGATACTTGCCCACCAAAGCAACAAGTATTTGAAGTGAAAATAGCTCACAAGTTCTCCTCCCGGAATAACGCAAATCTTGATACTTGCTGTCAAAAGAGAGTAGTAGCAAATAGCGCGATTGGCATTTTATCTGAAATGAAGGATGGATTTGAATGTGAAGAGGAATTGAACGATTATGGGAACACTCCATTACATGTGGCTGCCAGCAATGGAGATCTAGAGATCCTGATAAGCCTAATAGCGAGAAATGCAAACGAATGTCTTCGACGGGACAAGCATGGCGGAACACCTCTCCACGCGGCGGCGAGGAGAGGCAGAGTGGAGGCCTTGAAGGTAATTCTCGAAGCATGCCCTAAGACAGTGAAAATGGTCACTGTACCAGGGGAGAACTGTCTTCACACCGCGGTTTTGTATAATCAAGTTGGAGCAGTCAGGTTCTTGGTGGAATGGCTTGAGAGAAATAGGGAATACGCCCATCTCATTAACGGGAAGGATTACGATGGAAAGACGCCTCTGCATCTGGCCATTTCAAGAAAACAAATCCAGGCAATTTTTTGCTATTCCCTTTTATTTCTACAATTATTTGTTGGATACGAAAATCATCTTTATCCTCCTCAAATGCGGACTGTAAATCATCTTTGAGAATCAAAGTATTTAAGGAGCATAGCATCTGTTTGATTGAATATTGCAAATTTTATGACTTAGATCCGTGCAAAGAACACATTCTCAAATCCACATATAGAAGAGTAAAAGAATAGTTCTAAAAATATTGAATTATTAATTGAATAAGTTCCCATATTGGGTCAACCAATCAAAAGGAGTCTCAATCACTGGAGCCTAAAAGGAATTGGACTTGCTCACAAATCAAGAAGGAGTCAAGTGGAACCAAAGCCAAAGGCCAACGCCCAAGTGAGAGCCAAGCCAGGCGCTGCCTTGGGGTCAACCAAGCCAGGCACCGCCCAAGGCTGCCCCCTAGCCCTCTCCTTTGACCTCTTCACTCCAATACAAATCCAAGACTAATCCAAGTCAAGCCCCAAGTCCAGGTTCAAGCTCAAGATCAACATCATCCTCTGACAGAATGGGGACACGAGCGAGAGAATAACGGGATACGGAGATCTAATCCTATTAATATTGTATTTACCAAAATTATGGAAGACTTTTCACTCACGTCACCGCCTTACCCTAATTATATAATGTACGCCCTCTCAGTATTGAGGGCACGCCTCTGAAGCCTCTACACTTCCCCTTATACACCCTCCTCTCTCCTTTTATAAGCACCGTAATACTTTAGGAGAATACTCTCTCTAGCAATTTCACCCATTAATAAAAGACTCAGGCCACCACTGTCGTTTACGAGAGTGGAGTAAGTCACCCGGACCGAACCATTATAAATTTCTGTGTTAGCTCTTTATTTACCTTTTTACCATTAATTGTCTGTTTATTTAGCTCTTTATTTACCTTTTTACCATTAATTGTCTGTTTATTGCTCATTGATTGTTTCTATTCATATTCTTAACTGTTGATCTTGCACGAGATCAATTTGTGCATCATCAATATATATTTTTTATGATAAGTCCCGATAGAATTTTCATTGATCAAGAATTTAAAACATCAAATTGGAGAGGAGCTACCAAAAACTCATGTGGGTTCGCTCTCCATACAACATAATCTTTGACAATTTAACGTGTATCTTGTTAATTGTATGAGCTACACCATTAGCTGCATTAGCCAACCTTTGGACCCATGATAATGAAAAAGAAGGAAACTGATCCGCATAAGCATTTATCTGATCAAGAAAGTTCCCAGTATCTGAAAAAGCTTCCTTGTCTCGTAGCTATAGAATCAATGGATGCCCTTTGAATCTCCTTCCAGCTACATTCTTCTGATACCCAACTCCAAAGCAAGTTTGGTAGCACTGAAGGCAGCCCAAGCTTCCACCTGATCTGCCTTATTAACTCCACGTATAAGCCTGCTTTGACCCGCAACAAAGCATCCATTGCAATCCCTAACAACAACTCCCGCAAAATCCATATCCTTGAAAATTGTCCCATCAAAATTGATCTTGTAAGAACTTGATCAAGGAGAGCAGACCGCTTAGCAGTAACAACTGCATGAATCTGATTCCCCCTGAGCACATCTTGAAACTGATGGCGATATGAAGCCTGCAAACATGCTACTTGATTTGTGTAGTTGACCTCTTGTTGCAATCTTGCCTTGTTCCTATTAAACCAAATAGCATCTGTTTGATTGCATATTGCAAATTTTAGGAGAAGCAATTTTGCAGGCTCATTTTGGCCACTTATATGGTGCACAAGGTAGACCAATCAATAACTATTTACTCGATTATAGACTAAATATCTCAATGACTTCTTTCTTTCTAATTTGTTCTCAATCTTCTTCAATAACAAAAATTATGTTTTGCAGTGCTATCTTCTCTGTGAAAATAGAATTAGACAACTTTTGTTCTGAAAAACTGGTAGTAATCTTAATTTGCTCAGCTAACAATTTACCCAGATATAATATCAGATTTAGAGTTTATCTATTTTGATGCATTAGCTTCAATTCAAACTGCCAGGTTCGTAATGTTTTTGCATGAATGCTAAACCATTTAAAAGTCATGTTTTTCCTCTTATAGATTGTTGCATGTTTCTTTAATTGGTGGTTTGACATGTTTGATGATGACGATGAAAATCTTTCTGGAATTCTTAAAGTAGTCCTGTTGAGAAGAGATCTGTTTCATAGGACCTGAGTAATGTATCTTAGGTGTTATATAGAAAATTACCATTTGAAACAAGATTGTTTATTGGTTCCATGTTTCTTTGCAGCTGAATGCATGTAATCTGTTTAGTTTTACTTGGTAGGATTGAGATTACCTTGTTCTGACACTTGCCTATCTTTCTCGCAGACGTTAAAAGTTTTACTCACCCGCAATCAAAGTACTAGTGAACTGGTAGATGTGAATGCCACTAGTTGTGGCGGATTTACTGCTCTGGACATCCTGGATGTTCTAGAGTATTCTCAGAGTGTTGATGTAGAAGTTTACAATATCCTTCATCAAGCTGGAGCCTTGAGAGCCCGAGATCTTGCCAATCGTGATTCCAACCAGTACGCCGCTCAGGATGACAAAAGGAAGGGGTTGAAGACAACAGATAAAAGCAGTATTGTGCCTTCCATCAGAGTGGCAAATCATCACATGTTGTTGCTGATGGCCACCATGGTAACAACAATTACCTACCAAGCAGCACTTCATTCCCCCGATGGCACATTTAAAGCGCACTACTCATATAACTACACTTCAAATGGCAGCAACCTTCAACTGAAGAAACAGGAGTCGATCATAACACAATCATTCCTGTTGTTCAATTCCATAGGGTTTGTTGGGTCATTGGCTGTGGTTATCTTTCTCCTACATGAATTCCCATTAAAACCATGGCCACAGATCACGGTGTCGATGCTGTTTGGATCCTACATGTGCTGCATAATGTCTATCTCGCCCAATGAAGCCTGGTTTCTGCTCTTTTTTGCAATTCCCTTTTTATTGTTGGCAGCAGCAGGAAAGCTCATTGGCCTTGGACGACAAAAGGCTTTTGAATGATCCTGATTTCCGCATGCATGGATAAGTTCGGCACGTGAAGTGTTCTTTGTCTAATCGATATCTGTATGGGAGAGCCTCATTTTGGGTTTCACATATGTAGCTTGTGAAATGTGTTGGCTTTTAGTAAAAGGTTGCTTCTTTTTTTTCGGTTTGACAAAAAAAAAAAAGGCTTCTAAAATTATGTATTATCATAAATAAGTGTGACTGATGGTTCCATCCTTTTGTAATCGGATTGTGTTTTCAGTTATTGGTGTATTATCTTCATTGATTCCAGAGGTACCATGTTCAACTCTCTCATTATCTATATGACGGTCTGGTGAAATGACGGCCGTCTCATCTCCAAATAACAAAAATGTTTATTACCCGCCCAAGCAAGACCGATAGTTTTCCTACTGATTTTTGAGGGATTTTCGCATGGACATTGTTAAAGTCGACAAAGCTAAGTTCAAGTTAACACATTGTCCCTCTAAATTTTTTGGAAAATTTTTATAGTGCCTTTGCTCATTTTTATCTTCAGTAAGTTAGTAGTCACTTAATTTAGTAAAACAAATATTTTATTGTTATACAGTGTAAAACACATATGAAATTCATCCATTCATATATATCAATCAAAGACGATACTTCTGTTATGTAATACACTTTCTCCTTTTTTTTAAAAAAATACTTGCATTGATGACCTTTATTCATTTTTCGTTAATTAGGGGCTTGAAACCCAATACTACATAAACAAATGTTGTGAATTATAAAATATGCTCAACTCAAAAGCATTTGTCTTTCCATACACATAAATTTTTCGACGAGATTAAAAGAAATTGCTTTAAAGTATTCCTATGGCATTGTTCCATGCATTCTCACAGTCAGACTTAAGGTCCAATAAATGGAGGATTTTTCTAATACTAAGGTGTCATTGTAATATTCAATGCATTCGCTGCTCTCTAGGTAGATCTTCTTTCCCCTCTCCCTCCATGGCGATTACCATTTTGAGCAAATGCTCACTCCTCCTGCCCCTCCATCGCCATCTATCTGCTCCTCCTCCCCTCCCTCTCCTACTGCCTTAGTAAATATCTGTGCACCCTTTTAAGTATTTCTCAAACCCACCTTTTTTTTTCTACAACCTCATAAATTACCCATTCCTCTTGTGATCTTCAGACTCCATCTCCATCTGTCTCTTCCTCCTCCCCTCCCTCTCCTACTGCCTTAGTAAATATATGTAAATCCTTTATCTATTTCTCAAACCCACTTTTTTTCTACAACCCCATAAATTACCCATTCTTCTTGTGACCTTCAGTTCTCACCCCTTCCTTTTCAATAACCCATTCACCCAACCACCCATCCTTCACACCCACACTGTGTTATGGACAAACTACAAAGCACTGATACAGAGCTCACAATTCAGCTCAACCCAGATGAAAATACCGCTCAATTCGGGGAGAACGGCTGCCTTGTTGGGAAAATTTAATCTGACAAGCATATCAACAAGAATGCTGTCAAGATTATTCTCAATCGCTCCTAGAATGCAGTAAGCAACTTGGAAATACATGAAGGGGATGATGATACCTTCATATTTGTTTTTGCAAACGAGGAACCAAAGAAGAAAATCTATAACCAGTGCCCTTGGTTGATCAAGGGCTAGCTACATATGCTCAAACAATGGACAAAGGCAACCCCCATAGCCGACATAGACTTCAACTCAACCCTTTCTGGATACAAACTCATAGGCTCTCCCCGATATGATTACACCAGAAAATGCAAAGAGAATTGCAAATGCCCTTGGCAAGCTAGTGGAAGCAGAGGAAAAAATTGCCCAAAAAACAGTCGGGAAAAATTACCGACGTACAAGGGTAATTTTAGACCTTATGCACCCACTTCGAAATCACTTCTGGATGCCGATGAAGGGAGCACCTAGAAGATTGATCCAGCTCCGATTCGAAAGATTGGGGGATTTTTGTTATAGATGTGGAAGAATTGGCCATGAAAAATCCAATTGCATCTTTGAACCACCAATAGACAAGCACACCAAATACGATCAGCAATTGTGAGCATCTCCATGGAAAACTGGGAATATTCATCACACAACAGAGGTACATCTTTCGCCAAAATAACTCATCGAAAAAAGGATTGTCACCACCAACCCTGGAAGAGCGTGAAACTCCAAGTCTGGAATGCGAGTCATCACAGGTCAGAAAAATACTTTACGATAGACACGTTAATAAATTTTTAATTTTTTTATTAATATTATAAAGACTTAATTTAATGTAACTTTTATTTTAATCGTAAATTTTAATGTTAAATAGAGTCTATTTTTAATCAAAGGGGTGCATTAAATTATGCCATCAAATTAGATCTAAATAATATTTTTTTTCAATTGGCCATAGAAATTCATAAATTCATATTTACTATAATTATACGTAAAAATTTATTAAACATAAAATGTTAAAAAATTATTTGTATGGAATGAACAAACAAAAAATAAAAGTAAATTAATTAAAACTTTGTATAAGACTAATTATCATCTTTTTACGATTGAATCTGATTATTGTTTTTTATTTAAAAGAATTACAAATCAATGATATCAAAATGATAATAACAATATGTCATTTATTACTTTATAATTTTTGTAAGCTGATTTCTATATAATGACAAAATAGTCCCATAATTTAGAAAAATGACCGCGATATGTCTAAAAATTATTCGAACATATCCAAAATGTGTCTAAAAATTTAAGAATAATAATAGTTGCCTTTAATTCGAAATTTAATTTTATATCATGATCAAAAAAAAATTCAAAATTTAATCGGTGGTAAGAGCGCAATGGTTTTTGACTATTAGATGGATAATAGATATCTATACAATAAAAATCTCATATTTTAAATTGTATCTCAGTCATATTTCTCCTCTTAAAACCATCATCAATCACTTACCTCACTCATCATCTTTCTGTCAGACTCAAACGTTATGTCGCATCACTCATTTTTATCACATATTTAATTATTTATATATTTCTCCTTAAAAATATCACATTACTTATTTTTATCATATGTTTAATCATTTAATATTTGATTAATATGTAGTTAACATAGTTTTTATTTTAAACATTATTTATATACAATAGTATACACATATTGAAAAATTTTAATATAATAGAATCAATTTTTTGAACACTCGAATTTTATATTTTATCATACCTTTTAGGCACGAGTTATGACTAGTTATTAAATATAGGGACTCAATACTATATTTAATATCACAATGTATTAGTTTCAATAATATTATTTAAAAATTAATTTTTATTTAAGTAACGGTATATCTTAATTGATATCACAATAACGCAATAATAAGGTAGACACAATTAAATATGCTTAAATTTTATTTTAAAAAATATATATCTAATATAAAAAAAAAAAAAAATTAAGGGTATACGCAATTAAATATATCTAAATTTTATGTCAAAAAAAAAATTTTGAAGAAGACATGTGCGGCTCCGCCCCTGCACGTGGCACACTAACGACAGACAGCAAGATAGCGAACTCCCAACCTACCTCTGCAATTGTTCTCCCATTCTTTCTCTCCCTTTTTCAAAACGTTAAAACACCTCAAATTATCTTAGAGTAATGATATCGAGACCTAATTTGTTGATTTAATTCATTATAATCTTTAAATTAATTGTAAAACTCATTAAACATTAAAATTTGATTTTAATCCAATAACTCTATTAAAATCACATCATTATATCAATAAATTAAATCAAAATTTTAAATTCAAATAATATTATTCAATCCCTTATGCCGTCTAGTGATATCCTATCCATGGACCACAAAAATATAGTCCTCCTAGTACCAAGAACCCACAAACCAAAAACCCAAACCATTCCCCATATGTCCATCAAACCAAAGCCCCATCATAATTCAAACACAATCAACGACGACTTCAAATACAGAACCATCAAACATTCCACCCAGATTGCCGTCTCCAATTGCATTGCCGATAATTGACAAAAACTAAGACTATCACTAACTCTAAGTCAAATTTAAATTTGAATATAAATGGTCTGAAAAATTTTGGAAAAATTACATTCAGACTTTATGAGATTTATTTGTCACTTAACACTTAGAGCCGTACTGTCAATATCCGTTAATATCCGTTAATAAATTACACTCAAATCTCTTGAAGTTTGTATATGTTTAACACTTAGACCCCTCAAGTTTAAAATGTTATATTTAGACCAAAAATACTCCAATCAAAGATATAATATTAAAATTTTAAATTTTACAACCAAAATTTATGTTCTATTGTATCATTTATTCAAATAAAATCAAAAATAAAAATTTAATTTTTTATTCAAAAATCATAATTGGTATGTAATTGTATTATCTATTGGAATTTAATTTGGTCATTTAAACGATCAAATTAAACTACCAAATTATCTAAATTAAATCTAGAAGATATTGTGTCTATTACAGTTTGATCACTTATTTGATTTTTTAGTTTTATTCTAATAAATAGTATAATAATATATTAATCATGAATTTATAAAAAAAAAAATCAAATTTTTATTTTTGATTTTATTTTAATAAATGACATAACAATACATGAATTTTAGTTGTAAAATTTATGTTTTTTTATGAATGACTTAGCCTCTTATTTAATTTTTTTAGTTTTATTTCAATAATTAGTATAATTGTATACTAATTATGATTCTTTTAAAAAAAATTAAATTTTTGATTTTTGATTTTATTTCAATAAATGATACAATAGAACTTGAATTTTAGTTGTGAAATTTAAAATATTTGATATTCTATCTTTAATTATAATATTTTTGATCTAAGTATAACATTTTAAACTTCAGGAGTTTAAGTATTACACACCAACAAACTTCAAGACGTCTGGGTGTAATTTATTAACGGATATACTAACAGACATTGACAATAAGGGTTTACATATTACGTGCGTATAAATCTCATGGAGTCTGTGTGTAATATTTAAATGTCAGAGAGTTTGAG